CGCGCGCAGGCAGTCGGGCGGCGGCAGCGGCGGCAGCAGCGGCGGGAGCGGCTCCGCGCCGCCGCCGCTGCTGCACCACTTCACGCGCCTGCCGGTGCCCGTGCCGACGCGGCAGCACCCCCTGGCGGGCCTGTGGTCGGCGCTGTATGGGCCGCACGGGCTGGAGGTCCTGAGAATTGAATACGATTTCACCGGCAGCGCCGCAGTCATCAAGGTGCGGCCAGAATCCCCGGGCGGTGCGGGGCGCCCGGCTCCCTGCGAGAGACTGGGGGTGTGCAGCGGGCGTGGCCAGGGGGACTCGCCTGCCCGATGTGCAACGCAGCTTGTCTCGCGGCAGCTGCCCGCAGAGCCACGGCAGAGGTACGCGTTGGTAGTCAGTGCTGACGCTCCAGCCACCATGCTCACTCAATAGGCCACCCCCTCTCACTCTGGGATGACGTCACCCCCACCCCCCCACCCCTCCCAGGCCACCAAGGTCCTGGGTGACCCCAACGTGCCGGCCGGCCAGGTGTCCTGGATGTGCTCCGCCGCCCCAGTCCCGCAGCCCTGGGCGGACGAGGAGGTGCGAGCACAACCGTCTGGGGGCCCTCAGACGTGCGGAGACGCCAGGCGGCAGTGATGCTACGCCGTCTGCTGCGCTGTCTGCTGCCCTGTTTTGCAGCGGTGGGCTGCCCCAACCCCTGTTGGTGGTGGCTGCCTGGAACGGGCGCCGTGGCTTCCTTTTCTTTCCCGCATTCATCCTCACCTGCCCACCACCTGCCACGGGCCCTTGCCCTTGGCTCGACCCAGGCGGCCATCATATCCCGCCGCGGGTGGTACGCCAACATGGCTGAGGTGGCGCAGCAGCACTGGGACATGAACCACCAGGAGGGGGAGGAGCAGCAGGGGGAGCAGCAGGAACAGGAGATGGGGCAGGGGCAAGAGCAGGAGCAGGAGGGGCAGCCGCCAGAGGGCCCCGCGGTCGCCCAGCAGCAGGATCAGCAGCAGCAACTGCAGCAGCAGCAGCCGCAGGAGCGCCACCAGCCGAAGCGCGTCGTGGCATGCCACAAGGGGCGCGGCCGCGTCGCGGGCACCGGCTTTGCGGACCCATCCTGGGTGGAGGGGCGGCTGTTTGTGTATGCAGATGGGACGTGCGGCTTTTTGTGGACGGACGAGTACGGGTTCCTCATCGATTTGGAGCGCATGGACTGCTGAGAGGGTTGGAAGCTGCGACAGACGGCCAGATTGTGGGGGTGCCTTTGCTTGGGAGTCCGTTGATCAATCGAGGGGAGGCGCCTTGGTCCCCTCGTGAAGAGCATTTTTGTTGTGGCACAACCCACATACGCGCTGTTGGTTCTGCTTGGTTGGTCCCCTTGCTGTTGGTCCCCTTGCTATTCTCTGTGTTTATTACTATACTGGGCACATACATGTTGACTTCGCCACCACCATGTTTCCATGCAGCCTGCCCCGGCAATGCACACAGGACTGAAGCAGCATCTTTGCGAAGCGGCCACAAGCGGCCACATGCAACTGCGTGTCTAATTTGCTGACGGTGCTCAGCACATGTGATGTGACCTACTCGCTTCATAGGGCTGTAACACGCCACCTCGACTTGCCATACTGCTCTTACAACCACCTGCCGGCCGTTCTTGTGCCCAACAATTATTGCTGGCACCTGGCCAGTACATCGCAACTCCGCCGTGCGCCTCTGACCTACAGCATTCAGGTCACAATCATTGCATCCTCCTGAACAGCAAACAAGATTCACCTGTCCTGTAAGGGAACAGTTTCACAGCAGACATACTGAAGGCAGGCTGTTCCGCGTGAGCCAAAAACTGCTTTGGCGAGCCCAACCTGCAGCCTGCCAGCCATGACAAACGGCATGCAGCAGACAAGCAGGGGGATGGCATGGCACCCAGATTGTGAGCTCATGCCAGCCCGGACGACCGTTGCACAGCAACCTACTACACCCGACCATTCAAAAAAATACATGGTGCGCTTACTCTCGAAAGCACCGCCATTACCGCACGTGCTCGTACGTGCGTTGCCTGCCAGCGTACTCATGTGACAGTGCTGTTCCTACTGTGGTCCAGTAAACACGCTTCTACGCAGCCTTCAGCTTGTCACATCCTTCTGGATTGTTTGCACAAGAACCAAGATAACCCTGCGGGTGTCCATCATCCCTGCATTGGCTCTGATGCCACATGTCGTCAGTAGTGGCGAAGCTGCCTCGGCAGGTGCCACCCGACTTTCGTCTTTTCCACAAACGACACCCCCGCGACACACGCAGCGGCTTATGTCACTCAAGAGAGTAGGGGCATCATGAGGGCCGTCGTTGCCCTGCTTCTGCTCTTGTTTTCGTGCAGGCTGGGCTGGGGCGCCATCGTCCGTGGCGTCCAGCCCGAACTGGCCGCCAAATACGAGCCCAACGCGGACAAGAAATGGTCTTGTCTGGATGGATCCAAGACGATCGACTTTGATCGCGTGAATGATCTGTACTGCGACTGCCCCGACGGCAGCGACGAGCCAGGTGCGCCTTGAGGATCTCGACAGGTGTCGATCATCAGAATACGCGCTAACCCGCTATTCACGTCCCGCAGGCACCCCTGCGTGTTCTAATGGCTTGTTCTACTGTCGCAACCGGGGCCACGAGGCCAAGGTGCTGTCAACGGCATTTGTGGATGATGGTGTCTGCGGTGAGACTTCTCCTGGAGGTGCAACAGGCCGGATCGGCAGCGGCGCAAGAGAGCGAGCGTCCCTCCGGGTGTCGTGGTGCAGCAGCGGTGCCGCTAATGCTGGGATCGGAGAGGGCCAACCCACCGCACCACAGTCTCCCGGCCGCAACGGTCCTCAAATTGCCGTATGGCACCTGTACGATGCGGTGCGCCGCCACAGCCGCTCGTGACCAGCCGACGGAAGCCCCCTCGCGCTCCTCCCAACCCGGCAACTAACCACCCTCCCCCCCCCCCCCC